GGGGGGGGGGGGTGTATGTTATAGTAAGATTTTAGAGAGTTGTGGTCATATAAAACACTAGTAGGATTGAAGCACCCTGGCTTAAACCACACTGTGATAATGTTATGTAACTTTTAATGTGAACCTATACTTAAGTTTGTCTAAATAGTCCTGTTGTAAAGGATTATTGATGTTATATTTTTACATACTCAGTTTGTAATGAAACCATTTTTGGTTTAATTTTGTTAAAAATATTCTCAATCTTGTTTATGGTAGAGCCTCATTTTTTAAAAAAAAACAATAGGGCCTCAGTTATATTTATGGTATGAGTAACCATCTTTAAGTAATAACACTATTTTGAAGGAATTACCCAGTATTTGTTTTTTTTGTTGGTGCATTTTTCAATGTTATTTATTTTCCCATCACCATTCATTTCCTTGATTTCTTCATTTTGAAGTTTGGTCTTAGTCCCAGAGTATTTTCCCCGGAAGCACACTTTTCTTCAATATTTATGTGTTTGTGGTTAAAGAAAAAACTACGTTTTACAAATCTTAAAAATTTATTATGAAATCATCAGGGAATTATAAGTTCCTATTAAAATCATTTTAGAAGTGTCCTATATTTGGATTCCCCAATAGATCTTGCCTAAGGTTAGTACAAGCCTTGGGGCATTTTTTCTTTTAGAAAAGTGTAAAGTTTTTAGGGGGAGAGTGTGTAGTTAGGGAATAATAATAGATTGTAAAATGTGAGCATTTACCCTTGATAGCTGAGCCCAGTGCAAGTAGTTTAATATAAACAACATCGAGCCTTGCAGAAGAGTGGGTCAAAAGATTCCCAGTTTACGTCTTTTTGATTTTCATAATTGAGAACCTAATTGAGTATCTTCTTAATACTTGTATATCTTTTTAATACTTGCCATAATACCTTTAAAAGATTATGATAAATGTCATTCTTCGTAGAAGAGGGCTTAAGTTTCTCTTTTTTCTTCCTATGTGTTCTCCCCTAAATCACCCCAAATATCTAATTTTATTTTTTAAAAATTTATTTATTGTTAATATCTAATTTATTTTAAAAGTGTAATTTATAATAGTTCATTCAGAATTTGTTTTAAACATTCTAGCCAACAGCAAAATTAAAAAATAGTGTTTAAAAAATATTTTAGTATCTTTGTTATTAAAACTATAATTGCTGAAAAAAGAATAATATAGAATAGTGATAAGAGTGAAAGTCATCACTTTCAACTCGTCACACTTTTCCTGGTCTTGGAATTAATATTTTGTTGAATCCTCCTAAAACTTTTGTGCTTATTTAAATTTTTATCATATATATACACCCGGTTCTAGGATTTGGCTTTTACATCACGGCATCCATATACAGGGTGGGGCAAAAGTAGGTTTACAGTTGTTTGTATGGAAAATAATACAAGTTTCTTGTAGTTACAACTGTAAACCTACTTTTGCCCCACCCTGTACATATTCTTTTTATGGCCAGGTGTGATATACCAGAAATCACTTAACCATTCTGTATTGGGTGACATACATTGTTTACTTTTTTTTTTTTTTTTTAAATTCTTACCTGAGAATGTTTTTCCCATTGATTTTTAGAGAGAATGGAAGGAGGTGGGGGGAGAGAAACATTGATGTGAATATGCCTCCTGTTGGGGGCTGGGATCGAAACTGCAACCCCGGTACTGCCCTTGACTGGGAATCCAACCCGGAGACCCTTGGTTCCAAGGGCCAGTGCCCTGACCACTGAGCACGCTGGCCAGGGCTACATATTTTCTGTCATACAATTACTACAACAGCATCCTTGAAAATATACTTGGAGAGAGATTTCTGTAATGTAGTTTCCTGAAAGGTACTGTTAGTTAACTTAAAAGTGTTTGTGAGTTGTGAGTTTGGTATTGCCAAAATGTTTTCCTAAAAGGTGGTGCCCACATAAACTCCATGGACTTGATGTGAATGCTTTTTTCCCTGTGCTGTACCAATAATTAAATACTATTCTTTAAATTTCAGTCAGTCTAAGGTGGAAAAGTGGGTTAAGAGTATGACTTGCCCCAGTTTAATTCTCAGTTCAACTGAAAACTGGTTTGGGAAAATTTTACTTAAACTCAGTGCCATTTTTAAATTTGTAAAATGGCACTTTTTATGGCTTATCCATAATTTGTTGAGGTTCAAATGACACGTATAGTCATTGTTTTGAATGCATGGCTTGTGGAGTACAACCTTAATCTTGACGTTTTATGATCCCTGCAGATCCACTCTGGATATGGTCTTGTCATTGGAAGAAATTTCATGTAGGTTCCTTAGTTTTTCTCATTATTCTTAGGTAATAAAAAGCTCTCTAATCATGTGTAGTCAGAAAATTAACAGTATCTCATTTTGGTAAGTATCTCCTAACCCATTTAAATTTTACAATTAGAACTTTGACACATGCATACAACCATGACATTGACACAATAAAGATACGGAACATTTCCTTCACCTCCAATAAGTTTCCTCGTGCTTGTTTGCAATTCAGTCTTTGCTCCAGCCCCAGCCCCAGGCAACCACTGATGTCTCAATGTAGACTGGTTTGGATTTCCTAAAATTTTATATAAATGAAATCAGTATGTACTCTTTTGTGTCTGTCATTCACTATGGTGATTTTGAGATGGATCAGTAAATACTGTAAATATATTTTTTGCTTATTTAGTGATACTGAACATATTTCTGTAT